ATACTATGGGTGTCAGGAGGCTGGAAAGGTTAGAAGCTCAGGAATGCCTCTGGAGAGACATGTCTACCCGAAGTGACCAGCAAGCCTGTGGGGAGGGAGGGGCTTCTCATCCCTGTCTTTCTTTCTCTGGAACGCAGGTTGTCATATGGGTTGAAAGTCCACTGGATACCCTTGGAGATGAAAACAAAGGCAGCCCTGTTTCCGTCCACACATTCAAATGACATGTAAGTGATCTCTTTGGGGTTTATGTGGAACCATGGACCACTAAACTCCTCTCTGCACTATTTTGGTATGTCTGCACCTTGGAAATGGAGGAGGCTTAGTCATGTCCCCAAGGAGTGAGTCGGGGCCAGGGGATTGGCCATGGAGCAGCCGTACACCAATGGCTGATATAAAGGAAGCCAGAGGTGGTGGTCAGAATGCAAGGACCTTGGGTTTTCTGGGCTCCCTGGAGTCCTGGAACCCCAGGAGAGCAGTGTTGTTGTCTGGGAGGAAGGGCAGGCAACACCTGCAGGGTTACCCCCCAAGCTCAGTGTACAGAGAAGCAGGCAGAAAGCACAAAGAGCACAGGAGAGCACGGGATGAACCAACCAACATGCCGTGAACCTCAGACCTCCCCTGCTTTGATGAGTTGTATGGGAAAAGTGGGCCAAGGACAATGTTCAGAAATAACAAACCTAAGATACTGATGTGTTGTCCCAGGGCAGGCTCCTTTGTGAGACTCACCATCACACATGTTGTGCTGCCTACTTTTGTGTCAACTTGACACCAGCTAGAGTTATTTGATTGAGAAAATGTTTTCGAAAGACCGGCCTGTGGGTAAGCTTGTGTGTGTGTGTGTGTGTGTGTGTGTGTGTGTGTGGTATTTTCTTGATTGATGATTGATGTGACAGCTCACTGTGGTCAGTGGCAGCCCTGGGCAAGTGGGTCTTGGGTGCTGCAAGAAAACAGGCAGAATAAGCCACGGTGAAGCCAGCCAATAAGCAGCACTCCTCCATGGCTTCTGTTTCAGTTCCTGCCTCCAGGTTCCTGCCCTGACTTTCCTCAGTGATGGACTGTTACCTAGAAGCATAAGATGAAATAAACCTCCTTTTCCCTAAGTTGCTTTTGGTCATGGTGATTTATCACAGCAATAGAAACCCTAACTAAGACAGAAACTGGCACCAGGTCAGGAGTATTGCTGTGATAGATCTGACCATGTGTTCTGGGAGGACTGTGGTGGCACTGAGTGCTCAGAGCTCAGTGGGCTGTTCCATGGTAACTTGGATGATAAGCATGTTGAGAGCAGTGCTCAGAGAGAGGCCTGGCATGTGAAGTTTCAGAGGGAAATGAAGACCCTAACATGATAATCTGAGAGATATTTTGAATTAATAACTACCAAAGTGAAGCCTTTGCTTTGCTGGGACAATTGATGCCGGGGTCCAGAAGGGGCCAAAGTCATTACTGAAAGCCAACCTGGGTGATATGTAAAGTTTCTCAGGTTATGTTGGTTTTGGAGACATGAAGGGATCACGGAGAGCAGCTGGGGCTTGGTACTGTGTGGCAGGGCAGGGATCTCTGAAGAGAGGACGGTGACGTAAGTACAGCCTCAGTTGCAGTAGAGACCCCAGGATTGAAGGAGTCATGGGGAGAAATTGAAGCTTGCTACTGGCAGAGTCAGAGTCCCTGAAAAGAGCCCCCGAGAGGCTATTGGTGAAGGCAGAATCCAGCTGCATTTAGACATGCCAATACCATGGGTGGCAGCCAAAGTTAGCAACACATGTAGAGTGGAGCTGGCCTAAGCCTATGAGACAAGCTGTGTGTGCTGCAGATGAAGAGACAGAGAAGCGAAATTGACCAGGATGCTTGGAGCCCAGAGGATCATGGGTCCCAGATGTGAAACACTCAACAGTTTATATCATTAAAATTTGGTTTTACATTGCTTTGATTATAACTGTGCCCTAGTTATTTCTTCTTGGAGTAAGAAAGTATATAACTTATTTTTTATTTTATAGAGCCCACAGTTTAGAGACTTTGAAATTTTATAAAGATGTAGGAATTTCAGAGAGACTCTGGATAATTTAAGATACTTTTGGTATTTTAGAGAAACTTTGAAAGAGACTGTATATTTAAGACACTGAAATTTTAACGTGTTTGAATTTTTAAAGACTGGGACTTTTAAAAGTTGGAATATTTTACACGGTGATACTATTATTAAAATGCCATCTTAGGGACAAGTGAGAAGGGAGTGATTCTAGTCGAATAGTGACGTGTTTGTGTGTCAAACTGACAAGGGGTCAACTGTGCTGGTTAGTTTTATGTCAACTTTTGACACAAGCTAGAGTCATTTGAGGAAAAGGTACCTCAACTGAGAAAATGCTTCCACCAGATTGTTCTCTGGGCAAGCCTGTGGGACATTTTCTTGATTAATGAGTGGCATGGGAGGGCTCAGTTCACTGTGGGCAGTGCCACCCCTAGGAAGGTGGTCCCGGATGGTATAAGAAAACAGGCTGAGCAAGCCATGGTGAGCAAGCCAGTGAGCAACACCCCTCCATGGCTTCTGCTCCAATTGCTACCTCCAGGCTCCGGCCCCGACTTCCCTCAGTGATGGACTACTACCTAAAAGTGTAAGATGAAATTTCAAAACCCACTTTTTCCCATGTTGGTTTTGGTCATGGTGTTTTATCATAGCAACAGAAACCTGAAAACACACATATGGTAATACAGACACGGTATAACTTCTGTAGCAGACTGCACTTCCATAGCGGTTTTCTTGATACCATTTTCAAAACATTCTCGAGGAAGGTTCCTTGCAAGTCAAGAAGTACACATAAAACCATAGACTTAGTCCACACAGGAGGAAGTTAGTACTCTTCAGACCGACATCCAGCTATGACTGGTGACTGAAGAGCCAAGTGGCAGTAGATCAGAGAGACCCGGGAGTAGAAGGAGAAGGACTGGAGGCGACCGAGCAGACTGGAAAGAAGAACGGCAGAATGGCAGTGCATCTGCACCTGACCAAGGACACTGCAGTGACAAACTCTCCCTGCTGTGGTCACCAGGCTTCTCCTTGAATCTCCTCAATGTAGGACTTTAAAATGTGACCATGAAGATCACAGGAGCCTTTGTACTTTTGCCAAGCGTTGTTTAAAGGTTTGTAGCAGGAGTGTGGCATTGAGCTGGCACTCTGCCTATCTCCCCTGTTCCTCATAATAACTCACAGCCCGTGCTCAGTGAGGCAGAGCTCAGCTCCTCCCCACAGCACAGGCCTCTGCAGTATCCCTTAGTCTAAGGACATACTGGAGGCTCAGTAGGGGACATTGATCTAGGGTTTTGGCTAGTGTGTGTCAGAGAAGAGGCACACCATGGTCTCCTTTCATTCCTTCTATTGACTGTCAAAACACACTCTTCTGTGTGGTGATCTCATATGCATGGAAAACATGAGACAGGAGAGGATGTGGAATGTCCAGGTGAATGGCTCAGTTAAAAATTCCTGTACAACCGTGGAGGTTTGCTAAAGCTATTCAATGAAAACTAACCCCAGAAGACAACATCCACAGGGTCTCAACATTTGCTAAACTTGTTAATTACAAGAAATAAAAAAGGCAATTTATAAAGGGGGAGCTTTGCCAGAAGCCATTTTAGCCAAGAGAACACATCCCATGGCCATCTCTTAACAGGTCGGTCGGAGGAAGCAGCGAACCCTGGAGGGCTGTTCAGGCAAAGCCAGATGTTTACCCCACTCTAAGGAGGAAGAAAGAACCCAGCTGGTTTGGATCAGAGACATTCTACAAAGTAAGTGACTTAGATTTTTCAAAAGTATCAACATAATGGGAGTGGAGGTATAGTGTTCTGGCAAGGCATGTGCCTATCATGCATATGTCCATGGCATGGCATGTGGCTAATGTATGTATGTTCCGGGTTTTGATCCCAGCCCTGCAAACCGAAACAAAAAATGCATGTCCATAACCAAACTTGATTCTGGCCGTGGAAATAACTCAGCTGTACACTGCTTGCCTAGTATTCAAGAGGCCTTGGGCTGAATCTCTAGGGCTGAAACAAACACACAAACAAACAAGAAGGAAAACAGCAATGGAAGGAGGGGTGGAGGGGGGCAATACCAGGAAGATGCAAACAAAAGCAAGGCTGAAAAAGAACGGCACGGCAGAGAAGTGGTCGGCTTCAACACACGGCAGACGGGGGGGAAAAGAGTGACGGTGACTATTTCCCAGATGACCATGGGCGCCTAAATTGGGACAATATACTGGGTAACTTTGCTTGTCAGTGTTTCAGATTTCATAGTGAGGATGCTGGTCTGGTTCTGTAGAGACCGTGGTGATCTTGGGAGGTCCAGGCCAGAGGGTGCCACGCTGTCTGCAGCCTGCCTTCAAATGTTTCTCATACAAAGTCTGAGCACACACAGGCACATATTGTAATCTCTCTCTGTGTAATCAATCAGTAAGTCTGGGTAAAGGTTTTAGGAGTTATCACTGTCCTGTTCTTTAGATTTTTCTGTACATTTGAAGTTCTTAAGAACGATAAGTAAGGTAAAAAGGCAAACGAAAGTGTGTATTCCAAGAGTTGTAAGATGAAAAGCCACGGCTCACGTCGGCTGGACAGAAACTCTCATTCTGGACAAGCATGAAAAGGAAACATTAAAATGAAAATAGTCTTTTAATCCAGCAAGGCACATTTGCTTTGTTTTTTATCATTCTCAATACCCACAAAACCAATCTTAGCTGCTACAGTGACAACGTGAGTTTGCACTAGGGTACATGAGGCCACCTGTCGGGCATCACTATCACATTCTTCTTAAGAATAATGCCATTCTACACTCACTCAAATTCCAGTGCAATGTCGAAGGTACTTCTGACCTTTTATTCACTGTCTTCCGGTGGGAGGTCAGCATGCTGCATGGGCTTTGACCCCATCTCCTGGTGCTCTGCTCCTAGGACTCTGAGGTCTTTGGAGATGTTGGTAGCCCTCTCCCCCTACCACCAGGACCCCGGCATAGGACTTACTTTTCAGACTCCTTGCTCTTTGGAGGTGAGTGGCACTCAGGCATTTGGGTCACCATGGCACTGTCCCTGTTGAAAATGGCCCATAGTTGCCACAGGGGAGGTATGAGAGCCCAGCTAGCTCCTGAGAACTCTGGAAAAGAAAGGGTAGAGAATGTTCAGTGTGTCAAAAGTGAGAGTTAAAAATCTCAGTGACTCAGTATACATATGAAGGATGACAAATCCCACTTCGCAACATAGTGGGGTGGTCACTCTACCACCACGGTACATCCCTGACCCAGGAACCATTTCTACTTCTTTCATTTTTAATGAAGTGCTTTGAAGATTTCTTTCATTATTATTTAAAATGACGTGTTTTTGGATGTCTGTACCTGTGTGTCAGGTACACGCATGTGAGTGAGGGTGCAGAAGCCGAAGCACTGGATCCCCTGGAGCTGGAGTTACAGGCGGTTGATGAGCCACCTGCCATGGGCGCTGGGAACTGAGCTTGGGTCCCCACAAGAGCAGTGTGCACTTTTGACCCCCGAGCCATCTCTTCTACTCGGGAATCACTTAAATGTTGTTTTAAGCTTCTTGGCCCCGTTATCAATAATTTTAGCATATGACTATGCTTCAGGACTTCTGCTAATTGAACATGAATAATTTACATAATTTCTCTCTCTTTCATTAGACGCAGCCTTTAAGTAATTCTCTGTAAATGGTTTTTGTAGGCAATACATTTTTGGAGTTCTTTAATGAAAACCAGCAGGATAAAATAGAGATTAAGTGCAAGAGAATGAAGCTTAACAGTCAGAAAATAGTCTTGAAGAAGAAGAACAAAATTGAAGTTCTCACATCTAATTTCTGAACATTAGAATTCTCTGGTAGATTAAAACAGCGTGGTTTGGGATAAAGACATACTTATGGGCCACAGAGAGAGAAGGGGACCCAGAAGTCAACTGTCACCTAGATGACCTGTGTTTTTTGATGAAAGTGCCAAGATAATTCAATGAGGAAGAGACAGTTTTGTTTTGATTTTTGGCTACAGGAAAAACTAGGTATCAATATGCAAAATACGACAATATAGCCTTACTTAACAGCATACCTATATGTAAAGCCTAAAATAATAATAAGCTAACTAATAATAATATAATAAAATAATAGGCCTATAGTAATAATAATAATGATAATAATAGTTAAAAAAAAACCACTCAGGAGGAAAATCGGAGGAAAGCTTTATAACATTGATTTTGACTATTGTTTCTTGGTATGGCAGGAAAGACAGGCAGATGGGAGGGACACAAACTGGCTATCATGGAAAACTATGAAGACAGTGAGTAGAAGCCACACACTGGGGGAACATTTACAAATACATAACAGATAAGAGACAGCACCCATTTTGTCCATGAATAACCTTTTTAAGGTAAGTCATTTCTTCCCTTTCCTGTGCCCCCTGCCCTGGCCTGTGGTTGTCCCAAACCCACAATCTAAGCTCCACCTGCAGCCCAAGAACCAGATTTGTTCAGGGACCACCTGTGCCTGATAAGTTGCTTATTCTCTTTCCCACTCTTTGCCCCCACCCGCTGCTATCTCCACACTGCAGGGCTAGCTCCAGACCCTCAGCCTTCAAACCCTCTTTCTTGAGAGTCAGGTTTGACTGGTAAGAAACACCTTTCTTCTCTGATCCTCTCCCCCACCGACTGCTGCTATTTCTGCACCCACAAGCCAAGCTTAAGACTTCTAGTTTGGGAGTCATATTTCCCTGGTCCAATTAAATAGTGTATAGACCATCTTTACCTGGCTTAGCTCAGGTCAGGCATCTCCTGTACTGGCCCAATAGAAGGCATACAGATTGTCTTCTCAGCCACACAACCAAAGAATGAACTCTGCAAGCCCAGGTCAAATCACAAAAATAAAGCCAAAACGAATGACCAAGACCACACGTCTGCCATCAAGTCATTAGTCCTATAGAAGTATTCTCCAATGAGAATTGCCTAGAGGAACCCCAGGACACAGAATTTAAAAGAACAATCATAAACTTTCTGAGCTAAGTCAATGACTTTAAAAAAGATATGAACAGACCCTTCATTGAACACCATGAGGGTAAATAAACACCTGAGTGATAGTCAAGTCAAATACTAGTACATACTTGAATGAAATAACAAAGATAATTCAGGAGTTATTTCAAAACCGAATCCAAATGAAGAGATAAGAACACTGAAAAGAAGACAAGCTGAAGTGAAAGATAAAATTGAAAAGATATCTCCATTAGAAAACTCAGGGGACAGACAAGAAGAAAGAAGAAAGCAGAGGATAGAATATCAGGACCCAAAGATAAAGTAGAGATCTATCTAGATCAAATAAGCAAAGAGTATGAAAAATTTAAGGAAGCACAGGAAAGAAACATGCAGGAAATGTGGGGCACCATCAAAAGGTCAAACCTTGAATTACAGGCATAGATGAGGGAGAAGGATCCCAAGTTAGTGACACAGATCAGATCCTTAAGAGGATCATATACAAGACGCATACAGAACCCCAGCTAGACGAGACTGGAAAATAAATTCCTCATGGCATATCATAATCAAAACACTAAATATACAGAAAAAGCAAAAAAAAAATTGAAAGCTGACAGAGAAAAACCACAAGTCACATATAAAGGAAAACCTATCAGAATATTGGCTGATTTTGATGGGAAATTCTAAGAGCCAGAAGAGCTCAGAGTAATGTACTCCAAGTCCTGAAAGAGCACACCTGCCAACCTAGATTACTGTACCCAGCAAAACCATCTGCCATTACTACATGTAAAGAAAAAAACCATAGCCAACAAACAACAACAAAAACCAACTAAACAGAATTCTGGAAGCAATACTTAGAACAAAAGAGGGGAAAAACACAGCCAAGAGACTCTAGAAAGAAAACAAACAAGCTACAATTAATGAAATACAAAGCACAACTAAGCAACCCAGAAAAAAATGACTGTAGTCTACATATACCTTTCAATAATAACTGTAGCAATGGCCTCAACTATCCAATCAAAAGACACAGGCTAGCTGAATGGATTAAGAAGCAAATCCATCTTTCTGTCGTCTATAAGAAACACATCTTAGCTTTAAAGTGAAAAGATGGAATAAAGTATTCCAAGCAAATAGAATCGGGAATCAAGCAGGCATGGCAATCCTGGTGGCTGACAAAATAGATTTAAAACTCAAACTAATCAGAAGAGACAAAGAGGGACAGTTAATTCTAATCAAAGGAACAATGAACCAAAACCACATTACTGCCCTAGACACACATGCACCAAACTCTGTGCACCCAATTTCATAAAAAGTATCGTAGTGGAATTAAAAACACAGATTATTAAAACCCAATAACAGGTCATTTCAAATACCCCACTTCCTCCAATAGATAGGTCATCTGGACAAAAAAAATAAACAAAGAAACCTCAGAATTAAATAAAATCTTACATCAAATGGACCTAACAGATATCTACAGAACATTCCACCCAAACACCAAAGAATACACATTCTACTAGCAGCTCCTGGAAGTGTTTCTGAAATAAACCACATGCGGGGACACAAACCTTAACAAATACAGAACACTGAAATAATTCCAGGTGTCCTATCTGACCATAATACAATAAAACTTAAAGTTAATAGTGAAGAAAATTCCAGTCAACTTGTGGAAATTAAACAAGTTATTACAGAATGATGAAAGGGTCAAAGAAGAAATCAAGAAAGAAATAAAAATATTCCTGGAACTAAATGAAAATGAAAGCACAACAACGAAACCTCTGGGAGACATTGAAAGCAGTTAGTTCTAAGAGGGAAGTTTATAGCCCTAAGCGCCTACATAAAAAATCAGAAAGGGCACAAGTAAATGACTTAATACCACTTGAGAATTTGGAAAAATAAGAACAAACCAAATCCAAACCCAGTCAATGGGAAAAAATAATTAAAATCAGAGCAAAATTCAATGAAATAGAAACAAAGAAAACAATTCAAGGAATCAAAGAATCTAAGTGTTGGATCTTTGAGAGAAGATAAACAAGATTGACAGACTCTTGGTCCAATTAGCACAAGAAAGAGATGACTCAGACTAACACAATCAAAATGAACTGAGAAACATTGCAGCAGACACCAAGGAAATGTGGGATATTATAATGGCATACTTTAAAAACCTATATCCCATTAAGCTGGGAAATCTAAATAAATATAAAAATGGATGAATTTCTTGATTCTTCTAAACTACCAAAGCTAAACCAAGAAGAGACCACCAATCTAAATGGACCCATGACAAAGGAGGAGCTTGGAACAGTAATAAAAATCATTCCAGCTAAAAACAACTCCATGCCCAGATAGGTTCACATAAGAATTCTACCAGACTTTCAAAGAAGAACTACAGTGAATAAATTCTTCTTCTTCTTCTTCTTCTTCTTCTTCTTCTTCTTCTT